CCTTTCCAGCAGCCAGTCCCGGTCCTTGTGTCCTAACCACAGTGGTGGAGCAGAGCAGAGAGTGACCTCTGCCTGATGCCCACACCGTCAGCACACACCCCTGAATGCACAGTTCTCTGCAGTCAGACACACCAAAGGGGCACCGTCTCCCCACAAATGGCAGAGGAGTCGTAGCCTCCATTTTAAAGGACAGAGCATGGCACAAAGGTTGAGGGCGAGTTTGGACTCAGACTCGAGTTTGTTCTCATGTGCACCTGTCATTGAGCAGCCGTGTGAGCCTGACTGAGCTGTTGCATGCCCACTCGGAGCCTCCTGTGCTGGTTGGGAATGATACCTGCCATCCTTGTGTCACAGACTGCTGTGCATCGGCAGACATGAGGTCTTGGATGTGAAAGGGTCTTGTGACTTTATGTCATGCTTTGTATCTAGAAATGGTTGGAAGGAGAGTCCAGGTCACTTCCCCGGGGCATGCCAGGGGTTTCTAGCAATAGTCTCAGGGCAAAGAGCCCGAGCTCTCCAATGAATACACCCCCCTTCCCCCAGTAATCTGATTTTGGGATCTAAACTCCTTATTGATCTCCAGTCCAGAGTGATTTGAGACCACAAGCCAATCAGCTCCAACAAAGTCTTGATGAGTTTGAAATGAGCCAATTTCCTCTGGATGAGTTTCTTCTGCTGAATCAGGGAAATTGAGGCTGCCCAGGCCAACTAAAAACAAATCAGTCTGCCCTCTCTTGTCAGACACCTCCACCCTCCCCACCGACCTGACTCTGCAGCCCCAGCCCTCACTGATGCTCTGCACCGCCCCCCCTCACTGTGGGGCCGCCAGCACTGGCAAAAGGGGGAGCACCCGTAATTTTCTCCAAAGGAGCTAGTGTCTAGAGAAACCAATATTTAACATCCCCATTTACATTGAAAGCGTGATTCTGATTATGAGATGGTAATGAGGGGATTAGCCAGAGGAGAGAGCCCCCCTGCCTGCAGCACCCGTGGTCTTACTCCTGGAGGAGGAGGAGGGGTGGGGGAGGGGTGCGGGCACTCCCACTGGGAGAGCACCAGAGATGCCAGAGCAGGGCAGGGGTCCTTCAAGACCCTATGTGAGAGCCCCTTATTCATGTCTGGAATCAATTAGCCTCAGAAGGGGTGACGGGAGAGATGCGAGAGCCATCTGACTCTGGTCCTTCCCTCTCTCTCCCCTGGACTGAGCCCCTCTGCTCTCCGATGCTGCCCAGTATTCCAGACTGGCGAGTTTCTTATGTCGTGTGTTGCCTTTGAGGTGGACAGCTGAAGTGCAAAAGTATGTTGGGAGAACTTTTGTTTAGTTCCTGGCTTCTCTGGCTGAACCTCAAATCCCAGGCCCTCTCCCCTAAATTCTGGCCTCTCTGGAATGGCATCTCTGTCTTCCTTGTCCCAGACCCCTGCCTTTTAACCAGGCAGCAGTTTATCTCTGGCTCTTCCTGTGGGGCAAGGGGTGGGGGGATGGAGGGAGCCCAAGGGGGTCACCCATCCTGAGGCCCCGTTTGTTGGTGGACAATTGCGCTCAGACGGGATAATTCAGTGTGTGATTGTGGTCACGCCCCCCCCTTTTGTGCCCCTTTCAGAGCCAATCTCCCAGGCCCAGATGGGTTAATCCATAATGCAGACGAGCAAGTAATTGGCTGTCAGCCCGGCCCCCTGCACCCCCTCCCTATTAGTGCCACTGCCCTAATGAAGCCCAGCTTGGAGAGCCCCCTTCTCAATGAGGCACCGGCCCCAACCCAGCCAGGCACACATGTGTCTCCACTGCTCTGCCTGAAGCCTGGCTCCCTTTAGGGACCCCCAGCCCAGCCTCCCCGGGGTGACCCAGCTGCCAGGGCTATGGAGGCTCCAGGGGAGGCTGTGATGGATGGGAGGGAGTTAGTTAATAGAGCCCAAAACACATGGGCCCTGTCTCCCCCACCCCCACCCCCAAATGCACAGACACTTTTACAGCCTCCACTGACAGCATCCCTGGCCTTTCTGAAATAGCCCCATGGAATATTATCCACTCCCATTTCCAACATAAATTGTGCTGAAATAGGATTTGAATGGGGCTATGAGGCTGCTTTTTTGGACGCCAGCCCAAATCATTGCTACACAGCCCATCCCCAACCTCTGCCAACCTAAGTCCCCTAATGGGTTTTGGGCAGAGATGGCTCAAGGCAAGGTAAAAGATGAGCTTGGACCTCAACCTCCAGTGTCTCAACTGATATTTGAATCTTACCAGAGATGCTCTTTTCTGTAATTCTTGGACCTCCATATCTGTCTGTCGATCCTACCTCTCTTTCTACCCACTTCTGAACCAATCCTTTAGTTAGAGGCAGGACTAGAATGCAGCCCAATAGATGAGGCAGGTATCCATAGACAAGCGCCCCTTCATGCGAGAGCTGCCTTACCTTGTACTAGGCCTCCCCTCATCAGGTTTTGAGCTTCCTACCTCTGGAGGGAGTCAAGCCAAAGCTGGATGACATCTGTTTACAATGTCATAGAAGAGAGGTTCGGGGAGGATGTTTGCAAAGGGACCTACTATATTCTCTGATTCCTTGCACTTACTTCCTACTTCCATCTCTGGAAAGATTATACACATTCCCTCTCACCTAATTCAACCATTGCTTATTTTTCATTCCATCTTTTTTATATGCATATAGGAAATTATTCAATATAACTAAAATATATACTGAATGCCTCCTATGAGCCAGGCATGTCAGCGGATAGGCTTATGTGCTTATAATTTTCTACCTGGATCATGACTCCAGATTCATTGCTACGTTTCATTTTCCTCTTCTAAAGCCAGAGTTATTGCCCTGGAATAGGTAAAGCTTTTCATCATGGAATATTTGGAAACTCTCACATTTAGAGATACAGGTCTCTGAGACTATGAAGGTTGGAATCTGTAAGGGGCTCCAAAGTCACAGGAGGAATCTTTTTATGATTAAGACCATGAAGAGGAAAATAAAGCCCCCATGCTGATAAGTGCAGGGCTCAGGGGATGGAAGCAAGTGACTCTCAGAAAAGTCTAGCCCCATTTCTGATTAGATGGGGGAGCAATGCTGGGTGGTGAAATACCATTCAGAGGTTGCTCCTAGGAGATGCTGAATATTTATGAGCTATGCAATCAGGACCTAGGAGGTAAGGCTTAAAAATAAATAGGCAGCAGGATGGGGGCAGGGAAGATGGAAAGGGAAAGAGATGTGGAAGAGAAGCCATGGGAAAAGGGAGAGGGGCACACAAAAGGAAGGAAGGAAAGGAGCAGGTTTCCATGGCTTGTCAGAGTAGTGACTTCTCTTAATACCTTTAAAATCTACTGTGTCTCTTCCCATTGTGTAGATGGGGAATGAGGTCAGACGAGGCTGGACTTTCCCAGGTCAGATTGTGCTTCTCTGTGGGAGCCCGAGGAGATCCTGCAGTCATCTTCACTACATGAGAGTGAGGAGAAGTCAGTGGAAAGGAGCCACTTGTGATGTAAGAAACCAAAGAACAGTGTGGATCAGTGGAAGGAGGGACTCCGGGCAGAGGGATTCCTGCAGATACTGGAGACAGGCCTAGTATTCAAGGTGTATACAAACAAATCTGTGACCACACACACAATCACCAAAGAAATTCAGACAATAAAGGCTCAGTGACAGTAAGGTGGAAAACCTTTCATATACAAAAGCATTTCCCTTTGAATGGGGATCATTAGAGGCAAGGGAATATTCCTCTTTAATTGAAAAGTGGGACATCCTCTGTAGGATATAGGGGATTTGAAGATCTTAATTGGTCTCTTCCTTTGTGAGTTTGATCCTCACCTACAGAGAGAGAGAGAGAGAGAGAGAGAGAGAGAGAGAGAGAGAGAGATCTTGGTAGAGAGAGGAGAGAAATTGAGACAAAGAGAAATAAAGAGCAGAGGCCATTTCTGACTTCTCTGAGACTGGGAAAGGGCCAGGAATTAGAGAAATGGACAAATACAAAGAGTGGCAGGTTTAATAAGGATAGGTATAAGGGACTTAGGGATTGAGGAACTAAAAACAGAACGGGAGAAAAAGATCCAGAGGTCTTAGTAGATTATATTCAGCAATACGATTATAGGAGTCATTCTGCTGCTAGAATTATACATGAGTAGAATGTGTATGTGTTGGAACTGAGTAAGGAAGCCTTCCTTCTGCTACACTACTATACCTGCTATACAGATGCAGTCTTTCACAGAGATGACTGATTAAGCGTATGGGTAATTGATTAAGCGTATGATCATTGATTAAGCGTATGGGTAAAAAATCAGCCTGAGTTTAAATCCTGGATCCTCCATTTACTAGCTAAGTAACTTTGGGCAAGTTATTTAACCTTTATGTGCCTAAGTCTCCCCATCTGTAAAATGTGGATAGTAATTATACCGAATCTTAGAGGTATTTAGGAAAATTAAATCAATGTTAAATAAAATTTATAGGAGGCCATCAGTTTGGGCTGAGCTTCTGCACTAGGGCTGCACAGACCAAACCAAAATGGAGTGACTTATGCTGAAGTTCCACACCACCACCATGCCAACAGTCAGATCTTTATCTGAGCCTCCAAGAACTCAGGAGAGAGAGATAATAGTCAAATCCCCAAGCGGGCCAGTTTTAGGAGGCATGACAAGGAAGTCCCTCTGCTTTAGTCTTTAGAAGAAAAGTTAACATTGAGATGATCATTCTACTTTTTGTTTTCTCTTTCTCTATTCCTTAGCCCTTTTCTGTCTAAGAAACCAAACTCCTCTGCTGGGCTCCTCAGAACATTCATTCTACTTTATAGAAGGACGTGTTGCTTGATTCCAGAACTGAAAATAAAAGCCAACTAAGATCTTTAAACTAAATTTACTGTAATTTTGTCATTTGACATGAGTGAATACATTTAAAGCACTTATAATAGCTTTGGCAATAATAAGTTCACAGTAAATTTTTTTAAAGGGAAGTAAGCCTTTATTTCCTTGTTGTGCAAATAGAGCTGGCTGAGTTGGTTCTTTCTAGTGATTAGTCAAAGAGACCAAATTCTGTATCCTCATCCAACACCTCCAGCTCTTCCTTGGCTTCAACCCTGGTTGGGGCCACGGCAGCAGCAGGAGCAGCAGTGGTGGCGGTGGCCACCAGAGAAGCAGCCACAAAAGCGGATGGATCGGTGAAGAAGGCCTTGACCTTTTCAGCAAGTGGGAAGGTGTAATCAGTCTCCACAGACAAAGCCAGGACTCGTTTGTACCCACTGATGATAGAATGGGGGACTGATGCAACAGCTGGGTAACCAATCTGCAGACGAACACTGGCAACATTGCAGACACCCTCCAGGAAGCGACAATGCAGAGTTCCCCCTGTGATCTCAAGCACTTCAGGGCAGTAGATGCTGCCATTGTCGAACACCTGATGGACGAGCAGACCAAAGGAGAAAGGCGATATGTTCAGCACACTCTGCAGTGTGGCTTCACTGGCTTCCATTTCGTCTCCAGTCTTAACCAGCTTCACATCAGTCAGGATTTCAATGGTGTCCCTGGAGATTTCAGTGGTGATGCCTAAAACCTGGAAAAAGGAGGTCTTCTCTGGCCCCAGATCAGTGTTCTGGGATGGCACAATGACTTCACATGGGGCAACTGCACAAGCATGGGTGGCAGCTGGCACCTTATTGGCCAGCAGCACGTCCCTGATCCCAGTGAGGTCCTCCTTGGTGAACATGAAGCCCACATTCCCCTGGATATGAAGCAACAGTTCCTCCAGAGGTGGGTTGGTTTCCAGATGTCCCTGGATGGCTTTGCACATCGTGTTGTTCTTGCCCAGTGCCACAACCTTCCCTCAGAGGGACATGAGGATCTGCTGCATTGGCTTGGAGCCCACATTTTCTGCTCCCACCATGAAACATTTTGGATAATCATCCAAGATGATCTTAAGGAAGTAGTTAGAATTCCAGGTTGCCCTGTCTTCCCTGGGCATCATGGTGTTTACCATGCATCAGGGATTACCATGCAGAGTTGAAGAATGTTGTTGGCCGGGCGCGGTGGCTCAAGCCTGTAATCCTAGCACTCTGGGAGGCCGAGGCGGGCGGATTGCTCGAGGTCGGGAGTTCGAAACCAGCCTGAGCGAGACCCCATCTCTACTAAAAATAGAAAGAAATTAATTGACCAACTAAAAGTATATATACAAAAAAAAAAAAATTAGCCGGGCATGGTGGTGCATGCCTGTAGTCCCAGCTACTTGGGAGGCTGAGGCAGAAGGATCGCTTGAGCCCAGGAGATTGAGGTTGCTGTGAGCTAGACTGACGCCACGGCACTCACTCTAGCCAGGGCAACAAAAGTGAGAGACTGTCTCAAAAAAAAAAAAAAGAATGTTGTTATTCACACAAGGATGCCTAGTGAGAGCCACAATAAATACTATATGTTATAATTCATGTCTCCATTAACATTAAATGAGCACCTACTATATGCCACACATTATGTTGGGCACTTGGAATATAAAGAGGAATAAGATACAGTCCCTGCTCTCTAAGGGGAGCTTGGAGATTATGGGGAAGATAGATAGGTACACAAATAATTAGAACATTGCATGGTAAGTTATACAGGAGCGGAATAAACCAAGTGGGATGGGAGGACCATATAGTCTGAGAGAGTCAGGAAGACCTCACTAATTAGGTGACTGAAGCTGGATTTCCAGGATGAAAGGGACGCAGAAGGTGGAAGCTGGAGGAAAGAAGGCAATTCAGGAAGAGGAAGTAGCAAGAGCCAAGGCATAGGAGTGCAAAGACTAGCACATGGTCAAGAGAAAAAGGTAGTTTGGTGGTGGGATATAGTTGATCAGAGGGGGTGGGGTAAGGGTGGGGGGTGATGGAGAAGATCTTGGAAAGGTAGACAGCATCCTGTCTGTGGCTATCCTTGTGTGCCATCTATATGGGGTTTATCCTACAGGAAGTTGGGAGCCATTATCATTTTTAAGTGACATGATCAAATCTGAACATTAGAGACAACCATGTAGCTCAGTGTCTGGCACTTAGCAGGTGCTTACTAGATGGGGATTGATTGAACAAATATATTAACAACTCCCTGTAGTATCAGTGCAGAGGATGGATTCTTAGTGGGAGGCTGAAAGCAGGGAGTTAGGAGGCTTTGCAATAGTCAGGGTGAAAGATGATGAGAACATAAACCAAGGCAGTGGCAGTGGAGATTGGCAGGAGGTAGAGAGTTGATGAAATACTTCTCAGAAACCCACTGGAGTGGCATGTGCAGTTTGGGGTTCAAGGTTTAAGGGGCATATGGAGAAGTTAGAAAGAATCCAAAGGAAAAGATCCTGTTTACAATCATAACAAAACAATAATAAATATTAGAATAAACATAACAAGAAGTGTTCTAGATCTAAATGATGAAAACTTTAAAATTAGTAGAGAACATAAAAATGAGGTAGCTATTTTATCTTCCACAACTCTTTATTATTGTGCTTAGAGGTGGGATTGGCATACTCCTTGCTTCCCATTGTTAAATCTGAGCTATTTCCCCTCCCTCCTCCCTAAGAAACTCTCTGTTTTTGAGTCTAAGGTCATAAGGCTCTACTGTCTACTGTCTCAGTACCATGTTCTGCCAACTCCTGGGCTCATGTCACCCATCCCTTGCAGGTTTTCGCTCCCAGCTCACTGTCATTCTGACCAACTCTTCCCCTGCCCCAATTCTTGATAGTTTTAATGCACACTTGGATAATCCATCCAATATCCTTGCTGCTCAGTTTCTTGACCTCCTCTCCTCCCACAATCTTGTTGTTTACTCTTCCCTTGTGGTTAATCCTTGTGTGTACCTGTAGTCACCAGCTATTCCGGAGGCTGAGGCAGGAGGATCTATTGAGCCTAGGAGTTGAAGGTTGCTGTGAGCTATGATTGCACCACTGCACTCCAGCCTGGGTGACAGAGTGCAACCTTGTCTTAAAAAACAAAAGAAAAAGAGTAAATGGAAGCAAAGGAGTTAGAATTTTGCTGAAATTGGAAAGAAGTCTACTATACCCTAGTAGACTATGTCATAACCAGTAACTGAACTTCCCCATGATCTCAATTTCAAGAATTCTCATTTCCAATCACCATTTGCAATTTTTTCCAGTTTACCACTTCCAGTATTCCAATTGCAAAGAATCTTAGACCACACCAAGACAATCCATTTATATCAATCCCTTTCCATTGCTCCTTCAATTTATCTACTCGTGGTCCCACGTTTCTCATTACTCAGCTTAAATTCCCTTGTTCAATCATCAGATTCAGTTTCTTGCATACATCTTCAACTTCCTTACCTGTCTCTCACTTCTTTGAGTTTGTTTGGCTAACCCACAACCTTGGGCAAATCCAACCCTCCGCCTATTCTGCACCTGCACCCAAGCAGCCCAAAGTACCTGGAAAAGAATGCAAAACCATGCACACTGGTCTCTTTTGATGCATGATCGCTAACATCAAGTAATTAATATAATATTGTACTGCTCAAGTTCTAATGCTGCCTGTCATATACTGTATTTCCAGAGCCAGGAACTCTCCTGGTTTCCTACACAACTCAGTGGTAAATTTCAGTCTTCATCCTAGTTGTCTTATTCCATTTGGGCTGCTATCACAAAAATGCCATTGACTGGTGGTTTAAATAACAATTATTTATTTCTTCCACTTCTGGGGGCTGTGAAGTCCAAGATTGAGGTGTTGGCAGATTCAGTGGTGAGGGCTCACTTCCTGGTTCACAGACGGCTGTCTTCTCAATGTGTCCTCACATGGTAGAAGAGAGAGAGCTTTCTAGGGCCTCTTTTCTTTTTCTTTTTTTCTTTTTTTTGAGACAGAGTCTCCCTTTGTTGCCCAGGCTAGAGTGAGTGCCGTGGCGTCAGCCTAGCTCACAGCAACTTCAAACTCCTGGGCTCAAGCAATCCTGCTGCCTCAGCCTCCTGAGTAGCTGGGACTACAGGCATGAGCCACCATGCCCGGCTAATTTTTTCTATATATATCTTAGTTGGTCAATTAATTTTTTTCTATTTTTATAGTAGAGGCGGGGTCTCACTCTTGCTCAGGCTGGTTTCGAACTCCTGACCCCGAGCAATCCTCCCACCTCGGCCTCCCAGAGTGCTAGGATTACAGGCATGAGCCACCGCATTGGCCTAGAGCCTCTTTTATAAGAACACAAATTCCATTTATGAGGGCTCCATCCTCATGATCTAATTACCCACAAAGGCCAACCTCCTGATACCATCAGCTTGGGGGTGAGGATTTCAACATATGGATTTTGGGGGGACACAAACTAGTTGAGCTCCCAATTTACCATTGCTCATTCCCTCCCCCTTCACTTGTTTTGTTCTCTCTTCACTTGGTTTACAGGATACCACTCTCTCCCAGATTTCCTTTTGTCTCTTTGGCTCCTTCTTAGTCTTCTTTATTCTTCCTCCTCAACTCCCAAAACTCTAAATGTTAAGTATTTAGAGAGCCTAGTCCTAGGACCTGTCCTTTTTTTCTATCTCCTTGAATGATCTTATGGTTTTATATGCCATTTCTATGATGCAGATGCTCACATTTATACCTGTAGCCTAGATCTCTCCTCTAAACTTCGGATTAGTTCATCCAACTGCCCATATGAAGACACCACTGGAATTTCTAACAGGCATCTCAACATTAACATGCCCCAAACCAAGTTCCCAATATAACCCATCGAATCTCCAATGCCTTTAGGTTTTCCCTATCTCAGTAACATCTTGTTAACTCTATTTTCAAAATATATGCAGAATCTGGCTCTTTATCATCTCTACTGGTACCACCCTGGTCCTAATCACCATCATCACTTCCCTGTGTGTATTCTGAAAGCTTCCCAGCTGGTTTCTGTACTTCTTCCCTTGAGCTATCTTCAGTCTATTCCCAGCATAGCAGCCAGAGAGATCCCATTTAAAAACCAGTCAGATGATGTCACTGTTTTGCTCAAATCTCTCCAATGACTCCCATCTCACTCATAAGAAGGTAAAGTCCTTATTATGTCTTACAAGGTCCTATGTAATCTCCCCACTCTTGATCTCTCAATGTTCCTCTCCTTTATTCACACTACTCTACCTCCTTTTCTTACCTCCAACTCACTAGCTGTCTTCCCGTCTCAGAGCCTTTGCATTGGCTATTTCCTCTGTCTTCCCTAAGACATAGCTCATTCCTTCACTTCCTTAGGGTCTTTACTCAGATAGCATTTTCTCAATGAGGCCTTTTCTGAGAAATCCATTTAAATGTTAGCTTCTCCCACACTACCAAATAATTCTCACCACTATTTAACCTCTATATATTTGAGTTATTTAGCTTATTTATTGTTTGTTACCGCTAGCAGAATGCAAGTTCCATGAAGCTCCACGCTTTTGTTTAGTTTGATAATTGATGTATTCCCAGTGCCTAAAAGAGTAGTCGGTACAGAGTAGATGTTCAATAAATACTCATTTAGTGAACAAATAAATACCTTGTTCTCTAAAAGAAAGAATCAATATTGAAAACATGTCAAATTTCTTAAATTAACCTATGAATTCAATGTAACTCAATAAAAACATCAATAAAATTTCCCCAAAGTTTAATAGAAGGATAATTAAGATCCAAAGAAATTCAAGAATAGCTAGAGAAAGTCTAAACACTAAGAGTAACAAAGGGAAACTGTCATGTAGCAAAATATATTACAGTGCTCTAACAATTGAACAATTAAGTACTGTCATGGAAATTAACATACAGATCAACTAACAGAACAGAGATTCCTACTCACATAGGGTTTAGTAATCCTAGCACTCCAGGAGTCCGAGGTGGGCAATTGCTCAAGGTCAGGAGTTCAAAACCAGCCTGAGCCAGAGCGAGACCCCTGTCTCTACTATAAATAGAAAGAAATTAATTGGCCAACTAATATATATAGAAAAAATTAACTGGGCATGGTGGTGCATGCCTATAGTCCCAGCTACTCGGGAGGCTGGGGCAGGAGGAT